ATTCTAAAACTCGAATTATTTTAAAAGTAAATGGTCATAAAATTGCATACAGTTAGAATACTGTGAAGTCATATATTTTAATTTGGAGACTTTTATTTTCCAAGTCAAAATAAGAAAAAACACTAAGTTATAGAAGAAATTATTTTTTCGGTCTCAAAAAGTAAATAAAGAGTGCAGCTCTACTATGCTAAAATTAGAGAGTTCAGAGTGGTCACAAGGCTGTCACTTCCTAGACATCTCGTGCCTGCCCTCCAAAGCGTGAATTTGAGCTTTCCCTCATTCAGGAACAGCAGAGGCGGGAGGCTGGAGTACAGGAGGAAACCCCTGTTCTCTGGAAACAGAGCCAGTGTTATTGCAGGGCTTTCTGTAATTCACTTTATTATAAATGCTGCTAGAGTCTGAGACAGAAAACCAGGGGTCCTGGGTGAAGAGATGACTAGAGAAGTCTCTCTGAGTCCCTGATGGTTTAGCAAGAGCCTGAAGGATGAGCACTAGCTCAAGGTGGGACTGACAGGTGGTGGCTGCCAGGCTGGGGCGGCTGGAGGGGTCCAGCCCCGCTCCAGTCCCCTCTCATGAAACCCAGTATCTGCCTCTGGCCGCTTCTCCTCCAGGGACCAACTGCATTGTTCTTGTCTATTTCCAGGCCCCTTTGTGCTCCTGCCTTTGACCCATCCGCAGCATTCCAACCTCCCTCTCCCGCCTCCACCCCAAGTAGATTCTATTACTACCCCTACTTACTGGGGAAGATTGAGACACAGGTTAGGTGACTCACCCAAGGCCCCTCAGAGTGTCCACTCCAGGCTCTGAACTGTGTTCTTAACCTAGACCTAGCCCTGTATTCTTATTGGTTCCTCACTGGGTGGTGCCTTCCATGGCACCTGTCCCCAGCCCTGACTATGGTGCTCGCCCACCTGTCCATCCACCTGTTCTTTGTTGGCCACTGCTGGGACATCTGTAGGTGCCCAGGACCACTGGGATGGTGCTCAGTGAGGGCAGGGTTATCATTTCAGGATAACCCTGGATACAGCTTCAGTTACGGCTTTGTCTGACCTCAGGGTGGCAAAGGGTGCTTGTTGCTTGTGTGCTCGGAGATTGGAGTTTTGCGGGGTACCTGGTGGCACGAAGGCAACTCCAGCAGTGGCCTTCATGCCACCTCTGCTGCTCTCTGCCGTTATCCTCTTCTCCACCAGCCAGACTGCTTGACCTGATTGGATTCCTACTTGCCTGTCAGTCAGTGAGGGTCACCTCCGGACTCTCACTTGGAGGCCACATCTCAGCCACTGACAGTTCCACACTTTAGAATTTGGATTGGGGTACAGAGAGGAGAACTCCTAATCCTGGGGTTCAAGGAAGTCTTGCTAGAGGGAGTAATCTCTTAATTCACTGCTACACCTGGAAGAGGGGAGTTAAGCAGGTAAAATGGGCGTGGGGAGGGGAAGGGTATGCCTGGTGAGGGAACAGCATGTATGAAGGCCTGTAAGATGTTAGGGAGGGGACCAGGCTCTGAGGTAGAAGCAAGGGCAATCCTGGGACAGGGATTTAGTTATGCCCGTTTATGCAAAGGCAGGGAAGTTGGTGGCATCTCCAGGCTCCACCCTTCAGTGCTCTGGGCTTTTTAGGGCAAATGACCGGGAAGGGGACTGAGGCTGGGAGTGGGAATGTGGAAGGAAGGGACAGGTTTGAGATATAGACATGGGGTGGAGAGAGAAAAAAGTCTCCAAGCTCGAGTATGGCTTCTCTGGGTGCCCCCACTCAAGCCTCCTACAGCTTCCAGTGAGCCTGGGGCTACATCTGCTGCCTCTAAGGAAGACAGCCTGACATTGACCAACTTGGGGAACCTTCGCGCCTGCTGGTGGGCGGTGGCTGGAGCAGCACCTCCCCCTCGTGGTCTGTTCTGCAAGTGCAGCCAGTGGATGTGCCCAGAGTTTAGAGCTGCCCTGGGCACCCGCCCACCTCTTTCTCATCAGCTTTTTCTAGTCCTTGGGTGCTCACTTGTTTTTGGCAGCTTGTAGTATATCACCAGTTGTGTGCTATCCAGAGAGCATCCCTTATGTGCTAACCCTCACTGCCTTGTGTCTCTGTCTGTCCTGCTGGCTTGGGATATCTCTCTGAGATCAGCACTTCCTATCTTGTTTTTCCAACAGTCTCTACCTGGTGTCATTCTGTCTCTGACTCACTCCCGGCCGCCCTCCACTGTCCTGGAGCTAGGGTCATGGCTGCTCTCCCTGCAATGTTGGACTAATTCCTGAGAAAGAATGGGCTTTTCAACTTTTTCCAGGATGAGTCAGGAACTCCTGGAGGGATGAGGGCTCAAGACCCACCCAGTAGTGACCTCAGAGGATACCAGAGGTTATAGGAGCTTCGGGCAGGCCTGGGATTGTATTGAGAGATTTTTCCAAAATATGCTCATGGGACTAGCTGGGGCCAGCTGGGCCTAGCCACATTCCAGGGCCTGTCTAGGAACCCAGTTCATTGGTTGCTAGTGTGAAACTGTGCTCTGGTGCTGTTCTGGCTGCTGCCTATTTGCAGACTTTCTGTTGCTGCAGGGTCTTTGCACAAACTGTTTTTTCCTTCTTGGTCTAGTCTTCCCCCTGAGGCTGCACTTTGAAAACCACTTCCTCCAGGAAGTCTTCCCTGATTTATAGTGTCTGAGATTGGGCTTTCCACTGAGCCAAGGAATACCTGCTACTCTGTTAATGTCATTAGTTCTACCTTCCTGACTTGTGTGTCGATTGCTGTATCATTAGTGTCTGACCCTTTCTGGCTCTCACTAAATACTTTGAAAGAACATTCTGGAGTCCCACTTGGCCCTACCAAGCGTCCTTCTCCTCGAAGTTTTCCCTTTCCTCTCTGTGCCACCCCCTGAGCAGCATGCTGTCCAGTATCTTAACTGCTAGTCACATGTGACTAGTCACCTTCATATGAAGTAAAATTAAAAATTCATTTGCTCAGTCACACTGGTCACATTTCAAATGCTGAGAGTTATGTGGCTTGTGGCAAATGACCATATGGGACATATTGAATATCACAGATAGAAAAGAGCATCGTGACAAAATTATTTTGGTCAGCAATGTCTAGAAAGGTCATTGGAAATTACTTTTTCCTCAGATTCTTTCACACCTTCAGAGGGACGATGGGACCATGACAGGTCCTCTCAGGATCCCTGGGGCCTGGCAAGTCAGGTGAGGTTTATGGAGGGATACAGGAGGATGGATGGATGATGGAATGGAGGGAGGGATGGAGGAAGAGAGAGAGGGAGGGGTGAATGGAGGAATGGAGGGAGGAATGGATGCAGGGTGGATGGATGGATGCAGGAGGAATGGGTGGATGGAGGCATGGAGGGAATGATGGAGGGAGGCATGGATGGACGATGGCTTGCTCCATGGAGTCCTGGGGGACCAGGGAAGGTGGCACAGCTCTCACTGCGCAGGCCAGGAGAACTCTCACAGGTCTGTGGGGATTTGTTCCCTCTAGCTTCTGCAGGCAAATATGGAGCCTTTCCTTTGATGACCCTCCGTTTGGAAACTTGACCGTGTGGGTGGCCATCAGGGGACTTGGGACTGCTGGGACTTGGGGGTTCTACCACTGAGGTGATGGACTAAAGGGCCAGAATGGGGACCTTGTGTTTTGGGAAGAGCATCAAACGGTGCTATAAACTGAAGGCACCAAAGGTGACTGGCAGTGAATTAACTGTGGAGGGGTGGCGAAAGGGCCGGGAAGTCTAGGACAAAAGGAGAGTGGCAAAAATACAAATCAAGATAAAGGCTGCCATTGTCAGCTTCCCCGCGCTTCTCTTCTAAGCATCTCTGCATGTTTCTCCTTCACGGGTCTCTTTCCAAGTTCCCCAGGTCCCTGGTGCAAGTCCAAAGTCAGAGAAGCAAGAGCTCTTCCTCTTTCTTTTTTTTTTTTTTTTAAGTTCCCCTGCCTTCCTTGTTATATACCTTCACCGTCACTGCTCATTCCCGGGAGCTAGTCTGGGACTGAGTGTAAGTGGTCCCGCCTCTAATAAAGGGAGGGAAAAGGAAATACTTGGGTAACCTCTGGTGTGTGGGTCATAGTAGTGGGGCTGTGTGACCCTGAGTGATGGGACTGGTCTCTCCCCTCGAGGGGAGCTCTGTTGAGAGTGAGTGGATAAGTTCTAAATGATGAGGGACTGCCTGGGGGCAAGAGAGAACGCTGTGATAATGCTCAGGAGCTGACAGTGAACTTGCTGGCGGCATCTAGCCCAGGACCGCTTGGATAATGGATCTGAGACCTGAGGCCACTGCTTCAAACTGATGGTTCTCTGGAGCTGAGGCTGGAAGCCCAGGGATTAGGCAAGGGCCGGGGGACCCAGCTGAGGATCCCTGGCTCTCCAAGTCAGGGTGGGATAGGGTGAAGGTCTGGGCTTTGGACTTGGGGAGGCCAGTTCAGGTCCCAGCTGGGGCTTTGGCCTTGTCATTATGGGCCCAAGTATCCTCATCTGTGAAGAATGGGAACCCTAGTGCCTTATGCCAGCTGTGAACTGGCACAGGGCTCTAAAGAGTTAGCTCCCCTCCTCGGGCCCCGCCTTTGGTTTCCTCTTTCCTGCTGCCACTGGCTCTTTGTCCCCAGATCACTCTGCCACTTTCCAGGCTGAGTAAGTGAAGACTGTGGGCCATGCCCCTCTGGCGTGGGAGACCCTTGCTTGGGGCCTGCCCTCCCCTCCCCTGCCACATGTCTATGAGTCACAAACAGGCTCACCTGGCCTGAGCTTCCATGTTCTGCCCACATGACTCCCATGTGACTCTGCTTGACCTGTGGCACCCAAGACTCTGGACCTGGGGGACAGGAGCAGCATCTTGGGTCTCCTGGCTCCTGGCTCGGTAGGGGTCACTTGAGAGTGTGGGTCCATGTGAGGAAACTCCTGTGGAGGAGCTGTGGGCCTGCCTGGTTGGAGAACTCCGGTGAAGTCTGCATGTGGGGGTGGCAAACCTGAACTCCCATCGGGTCACAATGCCCAGGAGAGGAGGTGGCATCAGTGAGCTGCCCTGATCCTCAGGTCCACTGTGAGCTGCTCTGCTGGAGTGTGTTGGCTTCTCTTAGCAGCACCACCATGTGGTCCTGAAATGAGTGTGGCACCATTCAGTGCACCCCTCATTTTAGAGAAGAGGAAACTTAAATGGAGGGCAAGGTGGCCCAAGGGGATGCTGGGAAGTTGGGGACAGGGGAGCAAAGAAGTCCCCAGGCTGGTGCTGATCTCCTTGTGCCCAGGTGTGTGTGCAGGTGTGTGCAGATGTGTGGGGGTGCATGGTCCTGGAGGGCACAGGACCCTATCAGGTCAGAGGACCCAGAGCCTCAGCAAGGAGCAGGGAGAGGTAGGAGGAGGGAGCCTGGACTAGGGCTCTGTGGTTCCCAGTCCACAGACCTGTACCTGGGGGCTTCAGCACCTGGGGAGGGGACTTAGCCTTTTGTGCCTTCTTATTGTTTGTTTGTGTTGCTAAAGCCATGAAGTGAAGATGGTAACAGTGTGGAGGAACCCACTGGTGGGGGGTGAGATCATACATGAGAGGTATTGAGAATAGTGCTGGGACGCAGCAACTCCTCCTGTGTGGCTGATCCCTATTCTCCTCTCTACTCTCCTCTGCCTGAAGGTGGGGCCCAACTCTGGCCTGGTCGTTGCCTCCAGAGGGCCATTGGTGGGACACAGAGTTGCCTGGATTGGGGGAGGGGCCCTGGCTCTGCAGGGTCGGGTGGGAGGGTGGGCACTGGGGCAATGGGGGCCTGGAGAAACAACAGTTCTTTCCTTTTTAAATGACAGAATCCTCTATGCTCCTTGTTCCAAGTTTGGAAAGCACAGAGGCATATAATCTCAGCAACAAAAGTCCCTTCTAAAAACCCTTCCACACCTTGGACCCTCTCAACTCCTTTTCTAAAGCCTGCTCTTCAAGATTAAACACTGTTAGCAGTCTAACTTGCATCCTTTCTGGGTCTCTACATATTTTAATAACAAGCAAAGGGCCTCCCCTGGTGGCGCAGGTGGTTGTACGCAGTGCTGTGAAGCTGTCCTGAAGCTGTCCGCAGCCTCTGCAGTGCCGGTTCAATCCCCGCCGGCTGGCCGGCTGGCGAGGGTTCCACATGGTGCAGCAGACTTCTCCTGTCACGCCCACTCTCCCCTCAGCAGTGTATTTTGTCAGTCTGACTGTTCTGCTCCCCACTCTGTCTCTGCTGAATCCTTTTACCCTCCCACGCATCTGGCCTGTACCCCGGTTCTTGTATAAATAAATAAATAAATCTTTAAAAAAAATAACAAGCACACACACAAATACCACTTCTGTTTTAAAAATAATAAGGAAATGGCAATATTATACCTTGTTCAGCAACCTGACTTCCCACTTGGTGGGGAAGTGGGCTTCCCCCTCCTCCCCTCTGCTGCCAGCACTCCACACTGTGATTTATCCATGCTGCGATTTATTCCACCGTCTCCCCAGTCTGGGCATTGGTGGGGGTGGGGTTTCCAGTGATTTGCAATCAACAACAATGGTGCCAGCACCCTTGCGGGTGCAGCCTGTGTCCTCCTGCAAGCTTCTGAGGCTAAATTTCCCCAAAGGGGTATGAGGGGAAGTGTGGATGGGTCTTCAGGGGTTGCTGATGAGTATGTGTACCTGTGTGTTCAGGGACAGGAGAGCTGGTGGAGGGGAGTGTGAGAGCAAGGGCCCATGACCCAGGTCCCCAACTCTCAAGGTTGCTAGGGCTGCCTGGGGTGGGGCCCCTAGCACACTGTTGCTTCTCTGCCCTCCTCACCTGGCCCTCAGCATCCACAGTCCTACTCCATGTCCCTGGTCCATTCATTTCCTCTCTCTCTCCTGGTCAACAGTGTGGTGCCTTCGCTCATCCTGGAAGGTCCCTTTGTGCTCCCAGCTGGTGACCTCACTTCTTGTCACTCTGAGAAAATAGAAGCCACCAGGAGAGAATGTCCTTAGCTACTCACCTGTCCACCTGCCTACATCAGGACCTGAATCTCCTGCATCTGTCCTGAGGCCGAGGTAACTCTTCTAACTTCTTTGCAACCTTATTTTTAAGAAATAATTATTGAGATATAATTACACAGCATCGAACTCACCTGTTTAAATTATACAATTCTATGATTTGTAGCATCTTCCTCCACTGTGAAACAATCACTATGCAGCAAGTCCTCCTGTGTGGCTGATCCCTATTCTCAGAACATCCTAATTCCAGAACATCTTCATCACTCCCCAATGAATTCCCACAGTCATTAGCAATCACTCCTCATTCTCCCTACCCACCTTGCCTCACCCTGGCAGCCACTAATCTGCTCTCTCTATGGAGAAATCTAGTCTCTAAAAATCTACCTATTCTGGACATTTTGTGTAACTGGAATCATACAATATAAGGCCTTTGAGATCTGTCAAAGTTCATCCATGTCATAGTATGGATGAGCACTTCATTCCTTTTTCATGGCCAAGTAATATTCCTTATATGGATATACCACTTTTCATTTACCCACTTTTTGGCTTTGGGTTTCCACTCTCTGGCTATTATGCACAATGTTGCCATGAGCCTCCATGTACACAATTTTGTATGGCCCTGTGTCTTTATTTCTCTTGGATACACTTAGGATTGGAATTGTTGGCTAGCTGGTAACTCCATGTTATAGTTCTTGAGGAATTTCCAAATTATTTTCTAAAGTCACTGCATCATTTTACATTCCCAACAGTACTGTATAAGAGTTTCAGTTTCTCTCTATCCTGAATACTTGTTACTGTCTTTTTGATCCTAGCCATCCTGATGGGTGTTAAGTGGTATCTCACCCAAACAAACCACAGACCTCATCCCTTCCCAGCTGCTCTTGGACAGCACTGTCATAATTCCCCTATTTCTTCTTAAACAGACTTCCCCTCGGTACCCAACTGCCCCACATCAGCATATAAGCTTCTTTAAAAAACAAAACAAAACAAAACAAAAAGCTAAACTTCCCTCTACTCTTTTCCTCCAGGTACCTTCCTATCTTGCTCCTCCCTTTATAGCTAAACTCTGCAAAAGAATCATCTCTCGGGATTTATTGATTGCAAATATCAGTTTCTATTGTGCATTAAATTACCGTGCCGCTCGCTCTTTTAGTGTTTAGGGAAAATAAAAAGTGAAACTGTTTTTTTTAGCATCAAAAAAAGAGAATTGTCTCAACTTGTCCAATTTCTCTGTTCATTCTTGCTTACACTTGTTCCTATCAAGCTCCCCCACCCAGTCTCCATACCTGCTCTTCTCCAGGTCACTGGTGACCTTGGCATTGCCCTATCCAATTAAACTTTCTCAGCCCTGACGAAGCTCAGCAGCCTTTGACATGGCTGATCATCTGCCTCTTTCTCGACTTGGGTTCCAGAACACCAGTCTGGTTCCCTCTTCCACCGCTACCACCACCTCTTCTCCCCGCTCCTCACTCTGCTTTTCCTCAGCATCTTTCTGACCAAAGTAAGTCTAGGGCTCCTGGTTCCCTTCATTTTTCTTCCCACCCTTTTGGACCTCATCAAGTCTCACAACTAAACACGACCCAAGCACTGCCAACCCCCAGGTTGTAGCTCTAGGCAGACCCTGTCCCCTGAGTGCCAGGCTCCTGTACTAATTGCCTCTTAATAGGCAACTTTGACCCGACAAGTCCCAAATGGAGCTCTTGTTCTTCCCATGAATCCTGCCAATACTTCTCTGCAAGGGCAAAGCCATTCTTTATGTAGCTTGGGCCAAAACCCTGGGGTCAAGGATGCATCCTCTTTCCCTCACACCCCAGCAAAATCTGCCACGCCTCCCAACCTGCCTCTGCAGCCAGACCAGGGCCAAGGGACCATTCTCCTGCTAGGAGGTTGCAGGGGCCGCCTATCCAATATCCCTGTCCTTACCATCATGCCCTGTCTGTTCTAACACAGTGCCAAGGAGACCCCTTTATAACATAAGCTGGGTTATGTCTTTCTTTAGCTCAGAACCTCACAATAAAACCCCATTTTATGAAGTCAAAACCCTTGCAATGGCCTCTGAGGACCTGCAGGCTGGGGGCCACCACCCATCACTCTTGTTTCCCTCCACTTAGCCCTCACTGGCCCTTTTCTGTTCCTCAGACACAGCAGGCATGGCTCAACCTGTGTACCTGCTGTTCCTGTCTGGAATGTCCTTGCTCAGAAATGCACAGGACTCTTTCCTCATCTCCTTTCTGACTACCCAAATGTTGCCACCTCAGTGAGGCCATGTCTGAATGTGCTGTCTGAACCCACAGCCTCCCGGCATTCTGCCTGCTTCCTGATTAATTTTTCTCTTAGGCGTTACCTCTAGCATAGCACCTATTTTTCCTGTTGGTCTGGTTCATTATTTGTTCCCCCAGTAGAAGGTAAGCACTTAAGGGGAGAACATTTAGTCTGTTTTGTTCACTAGCATATATTTAGTCCCCCAAAAATGCCTGTCATACAGTAGGTGCTGAGTAAATGTTGAATGAATGGATGGATGTTAGTCTTAAGTTCTTGCCGCTCTGTACCCCCCAACTGCTATGCCATATATATATATGTATGTGTGTGTGTGTGTATATATATATATATATATATATATATACACACACACATATATACACATAGCCAGCAGATGGCACTGTGACCACAGAAATGGCAGGCTCCCGGCCTCCAGTGTTTTTTTTTTTTTTTTTTTTAATTCTCGTAGAACTCCACCCCCATAGACGCTACTGCTTCAGAGAAAATAATGTGTGTGTGATAATGTTTGTGACTCCCAGGTCAGTCTACTGTTGGTTTCTTGTCTAGCAGTATTCCTGAGAACCCATGAATATTTGAGGGACTCATGATGGTTAACAACCCTGCCTCCCAGGCCTACTCCAGGCCCAGGTGATGAGGTATCTGGAATCAGGGAGCAAGCCTCTGATCCAGTCCTAGCTCCACCTGAGTGGATTTGGTTGGACCCTGGGGAATCTCTCAAGGCGCTCTGGGAGAGGGGTGGGGCTTCCCCACTGGCCTCCTTTCTTTTCTCAGCCATGCAACCTGTCCCTTAGTGCCAGGACAACCTTGAGCCCCTGTGTCCAGCTCTGACAGTTTAGCAGCATCATGGAAAGCCCTTCTCCTCAGGAGGTGAGGAAAGCTAAGACCCCTGGACCCTACGTTCCTGCTGCTTCTCAAGTTAGAACTGGAGGTATGAGCAAGGCCCTGGCTCACACTGGGGTTCTGTTCCTGGCTCTGCCACCTGCCAGCTGGATGATGTTGGCCAAGTACTGATGCTCAGTTTCTTCATCTGTTCAATGGGGGAGATTTAGGGTTGTGAGTGTGGTTAGATGATTGCAGAATAGCTATCTGTTCTGGGGGAGAGTTCAGACTGGTGTCCTCTGTAAGTTTTCTTGAAGGCAGGTAGGGTGAGCATTTGCTGGACACTGCAGTCAGGCCAGGAGAAAGGCAGGTGGCTGCATATTCTCTCACTTTCTGGGGGCTGTGGAGGGCTTTGGAACATGACAGGGACCCAAAGACTTTTCTCCGATGTTCAAGGAGCTAAGAATTAATGGAAGAGACAGGACAAAGCCTACATGAAGAAAAGTTAAATAACAAATATGAGCAGGAGTACAAGAGATGTCAGCAGGCTGCACATGATGAATTACCCAGCTAGTGGGACAGACAGGAAACACGGCAAGTCTGGCACAGAGGAGCGCTGGGCTGTGTGTTCCAGGAAGGCCATAGTAGAGGCTATGGCTGGGTATGGGGCCTTTTTCTAGAAGCTGCCCCTGATGATGGGTCAGGCTGCGAAAGGACAGTGGGGGGGGGTAAGGGGGGGCGTGTGGTTTGCAGTGTTTTCTGCTGCCTGCCTAGTGGCCGCCCAGCTGAGGCCCCTTGAATGGGACATCTCTTGCCAATGATTATAAGGATGGCACTGTACTGCTGTCGTGGACAGAGCCTGCCAGGTCAGTGCCCTGAGCAAGGGGCACCAGATCCCATCCGGATGGGGTGTTCCTCCCTGGGGGTTGTCCTTTACAACTCTTCAGAGGCTGCAGCTCCTATAGGACCTAGGGGGAAGGGGGGGACATCATGAGGGACATTGTTACTCTTCCCAGGAATTCCTATAGGAGACTACATCTATGAAGAAAGCTACTTGCAGTGCAAGAGGAATGGAGCAGAGATGCCCTCCTGGGGAGGCCTCCTCTACCTCCTCCAGCATGCCTGGGGGCCTCTCCCCTTTGATGAAATCTCCCATGTTATGCCTATGGCAGTAGGGACCTGGGGCTGGTGGTCCTGAGGGGAGAAACCCTATAGCACCATCCATCCCGCCCCTCTGCTTTAGAACTTGTGGTTCTCCATCCCTGCCCACCTCCTGTGGAGAGATGCCCAGCCTGCATCCCACTTTCTATGCCAAATTTCCACCTGCTGACCTTCCTCCTTCCTTTCCCCCCTCCCTTATCAGTTCTTGCCTTCCCCAGGGAGAAACTGAGGCAGCAGGAAAGCTCCTGGGAACCCCAGATGCTCCCCTCTCTGACCTTGGTGCTCCTCTGCCTGGCACAGTTCATTCCCTGTGCTTCTATGCACCAGGGAAGCTGCCATCTTGAGTGGCCCTGGAGGTGGGGGGCACAGGCTCTGGTTGGTCTTAGACAGTCCAGATGTCCCTCTCCCTGCTCATGTGCTCGCTTTGCCCAGCTGCCACCTGGCATGAGGACCTTTGTCTGATGGGACCCTCCTTTGGCTGGGGCAGTGGCTGGGAGGTGAGTCTGTTTACTCCATTGCTCCCCAACCCCCATGGCATGAAGTAGAGCGTCACTTAGATTAATTAATCTGCTGCCCAGTCTGCTCCTCCAACCCATCTTTTATTCATGGACAAGCCACGTTCTCTGCTTTACTAGGATGGGGGCATCAATATTTCATCCTTGCTTCGCCTGCCAGCTCTCTGCTCCCTCCCTCCTGTGTACCACTGGCTCTAGGACCCAGAGGCCAAGTATGCTGGACTAGCCAGGCCTGCCCACCCTGCCAGTGCCTTGTTTAGATGAGCCAGGGACCCCACCAGA